GCTACACTCACACACATGCATTGTGCCTTGTGAGACGTCTCAAAATTGCTCTCACACACATGCATTGTGCCTTGTGAGACGTCTCAAAAGTGCACTCACACACATGCATTGTGCCTTGTGAGACGTCTCAAAAGTGCACTCACACACATGCATTGTTGTGCCTTGTGAGACGTCTCAAAAGTGCACTCACACACATGCATTGTGCCTTGTGAGACGTCTCAAAAGTGCACTAACACACATGCATTGTGCCTTGTGAGACGTCTCAAAAGTGCACTCACACACATGCATTGTGCCTCCCCTACTATGTTCCCTTCCCCCACTAGGTTCCACAACAACCCTTCCCCCTCAACCTCCGCCACCCTCTCCCCCATGCTCCCCCTCGCAGGTCCGCTGCTGCTGCTGCTGCTGCTCCGTGAAACACTCTTCTTGGTCCTCCCTTCTAGCTTACCTTATCCCCTTCTCACCTCCCCCACTCATTCCCTCCCCCATGCTCCCACTCACAGGTCCGCTGCTGCTGCTGCTGCTGCTGCTGCTGCTGCTGCTGCTGCTGCTGCTGCTGCTGCTGCTGCTGCTCCTCCTCCGTGAAACACTCTTCTTGGTCCTCCCTTCTGACTGGCTTACCTTACCCCCCTTCTCACCTCCCCCATGCTTTCGCTTTCACAGGTCCTCTGCTGCTGACCTGAGAAACACTCTCCTCAAATCCCTTCCCAATCTCGAGCTTTTCAACCGCCACTTCACCCGCTGCTATTCCACCTCGGCGCTGCTCTTACAGTGATGCCCCTGCTATGTTCTTCCCTTCCGGCTTACCCCACTCCCTCCCCCCCCCCACTACCTCTCCCCCATGCTTTCACTCACAGGTCCGCTGCTGCTAATCTGAGAAACTCCCTCCTTAAATCCCTCCCCCATCTCGAGCTTTTCACCCGCCGCTATTCCACCTGGGCGCTGCTCTTACAGTGCTGCCCCTGCTATGTTCTTCCCTTCCGGCTTACCCCACTCCTCACCTCCCCTCCTCCTCACCTCCCCTCATTACTCTCCCCCATGCTCTCACTCACAGGTCCGCTGCTGCTGATCTGCGAAACGCCCTCCTCAAATCCCTCCCGAACCTCGAGCTCTTCAACCGCCACTTCACCCGCCGCTATTCCACGTGGGCGCTGCTCTTTGCTGCTGACGTGGCGGGCCCTCACCGCGCCACGCTGGACGATGACGTGGTGGCTGCTGAGCTGGCGCGGTTAACTGAAGTTGACTTGTCTGTCCGGGGGATTGTGGAACTGAAGCAAGAGGTGCGACCAAATGAGATGAGGCGGGTTCAGAAGATTGGAAATAACGGCTGGCGTGAGTTGACTTGGGGTTGACTTGAGGTTGACTTGTGTGGGGGTTGGGTGGGGAGGGGGGAGGAAGGATATTGGACCTGAAGCTAGAAGTGTGACGGAATGGGCGGGGTCAAACGGTTTACATTACATTATGGATGTCTTGGTTTAATTCTCTTTACAACTCTACTGCTGTTTCCCTCTCCTCTTTACTTGCCTCTTCACCTGCCCATTTCCCTTCCCCTTTACACTCTCCCCGCCCTTGTCCTGTAATGATATCTCTGCTATCCATGGACTAGACTGTCTTCTCATCAGCCTTCCCCCTGCAGTCGCCCACATCAACCAACCTCTCTCAGAACCGGCTTCCCCGTCCCCCCTCTCGCCCTTATCGACGCCTCTCAAGCACCCATTCCTTCGTTTCCCTCTCTCCTCTACCTACCATTTCCCTGTCTACAGGTCTTCTCCCCAGCGCTCCTCCCAGCCCTTGCCCAAGTCAACCTCTCTCAGAACCCTCTCCCGCTCTCCCCTCTCGCCTTCATCGACGCCTCTCGCGCCTCTGTGCTGCTGCCCCTTGCCTCGCTTCCCTCGCTGTGCTCTCTGCAAGTAAGTTTAGTGCTGATGGGTGTTGATTGGTGCTGCTTGGTGCTAATGGATGCTGATGGGTGCTGCTGATGGGTGCTGCTGATGGGTGCTGCTGATGGGTGCTGATGGGTGCTGCTGGGTGTTGTGCCGGTGGGTGCTGATGGGTGCTGGTGGGTGCTGGCGAGCGCGAGCGAGGGGAGCACTGCAGTGTTACCCCTCGTTTCACTTCCCTTCACTCTCTGCAGTGCAGCGCTGCTGGGTGCTGCTGGGTGCGGCTGTGTGCTCCTGGGCGGTGCTGCTGGGGGCGAGTAAGGGCAGCACTGTATGTCAATATGAATGGGTTAAAATGAGAGATCGTTCAAATCATGCTGCACTGCTGCCTCTCCCATCTCACGTCTCCCTTTTTTCTCCCCTCGCCCCTCTCCCATTTCCCCTCGCCCCTCTCCCATTTCCCCTCGCTCCTCTCCCATTTCCCCTCGCCCCTCTCCCATTTCCCCTCGCCCCTCTCCCATTTCCCCTCGCCCCTCTCCCATTTCCCCTCGCCCCTCTCCCATTTCCCCTCGCCCCTCTCCCATTTCCCCTCGCCCCTCTCCCATTTCCCCTCGCCCCTCTCCCATTTCCCCTCGCCCCTCTCCCATTTCCCCTCGCCCCTCTCCCATTTCCCCTCGCCCCTCTCCCATTTCCCCTCGCCCCTCTCCCATTTCCCCTCGCCCCTCTCCCATTTCCCCTCGCCCCTCTCCCATTTCCCCTCGCCCCTCTCCCATTTCCCCTCGCCCCTCTCCCATTTCCCCTCGCCCCTCTCCCGTTTCCCCTCTTCCCACCCCCACCCCTCTCCCATCCATCACCCCTCTCCCATCCATCACCCCTCTCCCATCCATCACACCTCTCCCATCCATCACACCTCTCCCATCCATCACCCCTCTCCCATCCATCACACCTCTCCCATCCATCACCCCTCTCTCATCTGCCCGCTTTCACTGTGATGTGATGTGATGTGATGTGATGTGATGTGATGTGATGTGATGTGATGTGATGTGATGTGATGTGATGTGATGTGATCGCAGCACATGCAATTCTGCTCTCCTACCTCTGTTCCCTCCCTCTATCTCCACCCTTCCCTCCCCTCCCCCTCTGCCTTCCTCTCCTCTGTTCACATCCCATTCTGCTCTTCTCCCCTCTGCTCCGCTCCATGTTTGCTCCTCTTCCTCTGATTTCCTCCCCCGCCTCTCCTCCCTCAAAGCTGCTCTGCCCTCCTTGTACTGCGTCCTTCCCCTCTGCTCTTTTTCCAGTTGAGAGTTGACACTGAAATGTTGTTGTTTCTTTTTTTTTGCACCTTCAACTCTTCCCCACTTCTCCTTCCCCCCACTCGCCGGCCGTTCCGATCTTTCCCCCCTGTCTCCCTGTGTTTTCCAGGTGGACCTAGAAGGCCCTTTTCCCTTTGACCCATACGATACGGCTGCCACTCTCCCCCGCCTCTCCTCCCTCAACGGCGCGCCGCTCTCCTCCTTCATGCACGGAGGTTCCTGGATGTTTCCTCGCCTGCCAGCCTGGCAGCCTGGCACGCCATTGGTGGATCGAGTGCTGCATGCCATGTGGCGCCACGTGTGCAGCTACAAGCTTGCTACTGAAACTCAATTGGACGAGAGTGCAGCGTGGTGAGTGGGTATGCACCACACTGCACTCTACTGCACCACACTAGCTTTCATCTAGCCCAACACTCCGCGTGGCCGAGCAATGACTAGACTAGGTATGCTGGTGCACTTTTGAGTCGACTCAAAAGTCACCTCGTATGCTGGTGCATCCTATGACTGCCTTCTCTTCTCCTCCCTCCCTCCAAGTCCCTTTTCCACTCTTCCTCCTCCTCCTTCCCTCTCCCCCCTCCCAATATCTCCCCCTCCTCCCCACACCCCCCCATCAGGACGAGTTCGGCAGTGCCTTTCGTCACAGCGACCACCCCAACTTCCTCTTCTTTCTCTCCTTACTGCTCCTCCCACACCCTCCCACACGCCCCCACCCCCTCCCTCCCCCCTCCACCCCTCCCCTCACACCCATCAGGTACGTAATGGACGAGTTCGGCAGTGCCTTTCGTCACAGCGACCACCCCAACTTCCTCTTCTTTCTCTCCTTACTGCTCCTCCCACACCCTCCCACACGCCCCCACCCCCTCCCTCCCCCCTCCACCCCTCCCCTCACACCCATCAGGTACGTAATGGACGAGTTCGGCAGTGCCTTTCGTCACAGCGACCGCCCCAACTTCCGCTGTGCGCCCTTCCTCTTCCTTCCAGACGGTTCCTTCGCCTCTGCTGTCAGGTGTGTGTTGTGGCCGTCAGTGTGTGGTGTTAGGCGGGTGTGTGTTGTGGCCGTCAGTGTGTGATGTCAGGTGGGTGGGGGATTGCTGTCAGTCAGTGTTCTTCTTCCTTCGATTCAACTTCCGCTGTGCGCCCTTCCTCTTCCTACCAGACAGCTCTTTCGCTTCAGATGTCAGGTGAGCAGGGGGGTGTGTGCTGTCAGGTGGGCGGGGAGGGTGCTATTAGGTGCGTTTCCATCCAGTAGACCTTCCTTCGATTCAACTTCCGCTGTGCTCCCTTCCTCTTCCTACCGGATGGCTCTTTCGCTTCAGCTGTCAGGTCAGTGGGCGTGGGTGCTGTCAGGTCAGTGGGCGTGGGTGCTGTCAGGTCAGTGGGCGTGGGTGCTGTCAGGTGGGCGGGGAGGTGTGCTGTGGCTGTCAGTGTGCTGCGTGTCAGGTAAACCATCCTTCCTTTGACACCAACTTCCGCTGTGCGCCTTCCTTTGACACCAACTTCCGCTGTGCGCCTTCCTTTGACACCAACTTCCGCTGTGCGCCTTCCTTTGACACCAACTTCCGCTGTGCGCCTTCCTTTGACACCAACTTCCGCTGTGCGCCTTCCTTTGACACCAACTTCCGCTGTGCGCCTTCCTTTGACACCAACTTCCGCTGTGCGCCTTCCTTTGACACCAACTTCCGCTGTGCGCCTTCCTTTGACACCAACTTCCGCTGTGCGCCTTCCTTTGACACCAACTTCCGCTGTGCGCCTTCCTTTGACACCAACTTCCGCTGTGCGCCTTCCTTTGACACCAACTTCCGCTGTGCGCCTTCCTTTGACACCAACTTCCGCTGTGCGCCTTCCTTTGACACCAACTTCCGCTGTGCGCCTTCCTTTGACACCAACTTCCGCTGTGCGCCTTCCTTTGACACCAACTTCCGCTGTGCGCCTTCCTTTGACACCAACTTCCGCTGTGCGCCTTCCTTTGACACCAACTTCCGCTGTGCGCCTTCCTTTGACACCAACTTCCGCTGTGCGCCTTCCTTTGACACCAACTTCCGCTGTGCGCCTTCCTTTGACACCAACTTCCGCTGTGCGCCTTCCTTTGACACCAACTTCCGCTGTCAGTGTGCACCAACTTCCGCTGTCAGTGTGCACCAACTTCCGCTGTCAGTGTGCACCAACTTCCTTTGCCCTTCCTCTTCCTGCCTCACGGTTCGGTTGGTTGCGCTGTCAGGTGGGTGTGCTGTCAGGTGTTTTTTTGTGAGGTGTTTCCAGGTGGGTGTGCTGTCAGGTGTTTTTTTGTGAGGTGTTTCCAGGTGGGTGTGCTGTCAGGTGTGTTTTTGTGAGGTGTTTCCAGGTGGGTCACCCTTCTCTCTCTCTTCTCCCACCCATGCCCTCCCTGGCTCCCTGCTCCCTGCTCCCTGCTCCCTGCTCCTCACCCCCAGCTACCCCATCGTGTGGCCAGCAGCATCAGTGCAGTCAGGAAAGGAGTGCACGAGGGACTGGAGTGCCAGGAAAGGAGTGCACGAGGGACTATCTCGCTGGAGTGGGGCGGAATTTTTTCCTCTCTTCACACCGAACTACCCGTGCTGCCCTCCCATTACCAACCTCTCCTCCCATTCTCTCACCCCATCAGCTACTGCATCGTGTGGCCGGTGGCAGCAGTGCAGCCAGGAAAGGAATGCATGAGGAACTATTTGCCCATATTTTTCTCACGCCTCCCCTCGTTCTGCCCTCCCTGGCCCTGCCCTGCCCTCTCTCCCTCATCTCTTTCCCCCATTTACTCTCTCGTGTGGTTAGCAGCAGCAGTGCAGGGGATAGAGGAGTGCACAAGGGACTATCTCGCTGGGGTGAAGGAGGATTGTTTTTTTTTTTTCAAAACGCCTTTATTTTCCAACCATCTCCCCTCCCCTTCCTCTCCTTCGCCTCTCTTCTCTGCTCTCTTCTCTCTGCTGCCCATGTCCTCCTCCCCCTGTGAGACAGAATTTGTTCCTCTGTTCACACCCAACTACCCATGCTGCCCTCCCATTCCTGCCCTTTCCTCCCTGTCGCCACCTCTCTCACCCCAGCTACTCGCTGGTGTGGCCGCTGGCAGCAGTACAGCCGGGGGAGGAGTGCACGAGGGACTATCTCGCCGGGGTGGGGGAGGAGCAGCAGCGCTCAGCGAAGCTTTCTGTCTGGTTCCACACGCCCTCAAGCGCATTCCAGCAAGTACAGCAACTCTCTCACTCCCTCCTCAACTGTCAAGCTACTTTCTCTCCCTTGAACATCAAGCATAAGGGCAGCAGCAGCAGTCGTTCAGACCGTCTCTGTGCCTCCACACGCCCTCCACTGCTTCCAGCAAGTACACTAACTTTCACTGCCCCTTTCACTCCCTTGTATAATGAACTCAAGGGCGCCGGCTACACGCACTCTCCGACGTGCATTCTAGCCAATTCAAAGGGCGGCTGGGACCGTTTTTCACCACATGGGCCACACCCCATCTTATCCCATTTCAAACCAAGCCTCCCTCAAAGCGCCTCTCCTCTTCCTCTCCTGTCACCTCTCATCATGACACCACACTTTTGAGACGTCTCAAAAGCATGTCACCACACTTCACCCACGCCATCCAATCCCACCTCATCCCACTACTCCATCCATCCCACCCCTTCCCACTCCATCCCATCGCATCTGATCCCACCCCATGATACCCCTCTCCACCCTACTCCAGGCCTACGAGCAGCGTCTGTGCAGGTTCGCAGCAGCGGCCGCAAAGCACGCAGAGGCAACCACTCGTCTTGCTTGTGCCGAACCTGACAATAAAGAGGACAAGGCAGGAGGAGGCGAGGCGGGTGGAGCAACGGGCAAACCGGAGAAAGCAGGCGAGGCAGAGAAGCCGCAAGCAGGGAAGCGAGTTTATCGAGTGTTCAGCGATCTTCCCCAAGTCCTCGACACCCTCTCCCGTCCCGAGTTCACATTTGGTGAGTGTTTTGAAGAAGCAGAGGGAAGGAGGGACAAGCCGGGGTACTGAGTGTATCGAGTGTTCAGCAATCTTCCCCAAGTCCTCGACACCCTCTCCCGTCCCGAGTTCACATTCGGTGAGTGTATGGCTGGGGGGGCCAAGGGCAGCCTTTGGCTGGAGTGTATGGCTGGGGGGGCCAAGGGCAGCCTTTCCGGGGCGAGAGGAGGAAAGGCCAAGCCTGGGAGCATTGATTGCTCAGCTCACAGGCAATCTTCCTCATGTCCTAGACAGCCTTTCCCGCCCCGAGTTCACTTTCGGTGAGTCATTCACATTTACGTATCCGGCATGCCTCCATCCAGCTTGTACTTGTGTCGTGTTTTGAGTCGACTCAAAACACGAGTTCGATTTCGGTGGGTCGTGCACATCACATCACATCTTTCAAAACATGAGCTCTACCGATCTCTCCAGATCGTACTGGTCATCTCGCGTCTGTCCTGTGCTGTGTGCCGTTCTTGTTTCTCATTCTTGGAACCTCTCGAACGGCGTCCCTTTTTTTTCCTGCTCCCCCTGTGGACGCCTCCAGTGAAGCGGACATCATGTGGACGAGCATGCAGGTGGACGATGCGTTCAGGGAGGCACGGGAGGGGATAAGGAGCCTTTCTCTCTTCCTCTCCCCTCCCACCCCAACCACCTTTCCTCCCCCAGTTGACGCCCCCAGCGAAGCGTACATCATGTGGACGAGCATGCAGGTGGACGATCCTTTCAGCGAGACAGGAGAGGGGATCAAGAGCTGTTAAGGAGATATTCTCTCCCCCTCTCCCCCGCTCCTCCCCACCCCACCTCTCCCTCTCCCCCCCTCCCCCAGTGGACTCACCAAGCGAAGCAGACATCATATGGACGAGCATGCAGGTGGATGATGCATTCCGAGAGGCAGCTGGGCTGAAGGAGAGGCGGGAGAAGGGAGAGCCAGAGCCGTTTGTCAACCAGTTCCCGTTCGAGGCCTGCATTGTCATGAAACACCACCTGGCGAAGACCATCCAGCAGGTGGGATGCGGTGCAAATGGGTGGTGTGTGACAAGGTGATCAGTTGGGTGAGGAGTTGATGGTGATGATGAAGCACCATCTGACGAGAACAATCCAGCAGATGCAATAACTGCACTCAGTCGCACATCCCATGTGCTTTGCGAAATACAGCCAACATTACATGCCTGGTTCTTTGCAAATGCACTCAACTTCACATGTCGTGTGCTTTGCAACATGTACGCAATGCAGCATTCTATGGGATTTGCTTTGCTCCATGCAGTCAGCGCTACATGCCGTGTGCAAAAAAAATCGAATTCAGCATCACATGCCATCTCTCCTGCGAAATGCAGTCAGCCCACCCTTTGCTCCAATACGCCATATACTCGTTGAGTGCTTGCTGCCACCTCAGTCTCTACGATGCATGCACAGGTGTTTGCTCCGTCTCTGCTCTTGCTCCTCCGTGCAGGCATACGGCAACACGCGCCCCTGGCTGCAGGACACATACGACATGCAGTCTGAGCTGGCAGCGCTGATTGGATGCTATGTGCCTCTATGCTCTCCCTCTCTTGCTTGTGTGTGCGTGCTCTGCTTGCTCGTCTCTTTCTCTTGCAGGCATACGGCAACACGCGCCCCTGGCTACAGGACACATACGACATGCAGTCTGAGCTGGCAGCGCTGATTGGATGCTATGTGCCTCTATGCTCTCCCTCTCTTGCTTGTGTGTGCGTGCTCTGCTTGCTCGTCTCTTTCTCTTGCAGGCATACGGCAACACACGCCCTGGCTGCAGGACACATACGACATGCAGTCAGAGCTGGCAGCGCTGATTGGATGCTATGTGCCTCTATGCTCTCCCTCTCTTGCTTGTGTGTGCGTGCTCTGCTTGCTCGTCTCTTTCTCTTGCAGGCATACGGCAACACACGCCCCTGGCTGCAGGACACATACGACATGCAGTCAGAGCTGGCAGCGCTGATTGGATGCTATGTGCCTCTATGCTCTCCCTCTCTTGCTTGTGTGTGCGTGCTCTGCTTGCTCGTCTCTTTCTCTTGCAGGCATACGGCAACACACGCCCCTGGCTGCAGGACACATACGACATGCAGTCAGAGCTGGCAGCGCTGATTGGATGCTATGTGCCTCTATGCTCTCCCTCTCTTGCTTGTGTGTGCGTGCTCTGCTTGCTCGTCTCTTTCTCTTGCAGGCATACGGCAACACACGCCCCTGGCTGCAGGACACATACGACATGCAGTCAGAGCTGGCAGCGCTGATTGGATGCTATGTGCCTCTATGCTCTCCCTCTCTTGCTTGTGTGTGCGTGCTCTGCTTGCTCGTCTCTTTCTCTTGCAGGCATACGGCAACACACGCCCCTGGCTGCAAGACACGTATGACATGCAGTCGGAGATGGCAGCACTGATTGGATGCTTCCAGGGGAGGGAGGCGGCAGCTGCTGCTGCTGCGGGGAGGCGACTCATTGCCGGCTATGAGGGCGGTGAAGCGCCTGAGAAGAATGACGGTGGGTGGGTGAACCGTGTAGTGAAGTCAGTTCCAACCGTGTTGGAACAGAAAATGTGGGCTGCTTTTGAGTGATCCTTGGATGCTTTCAGGGGAGGGAGGCTGTGGAACCTCGCGTGCAGCATGGATGCATTGCTCCTCCCCTCCCCTCATCCCACTAAACTCTCTCCCGTTCCTCCCCCTTGCATTGCTCCTCTGCGACCTCCCTCATCTCCCCGCATCATTTCCCCACGGAACCAGATCAACCACATCTGGACAACACGTGGATCTTAAAGCCCTGGAATCTCGCGCGCAGCATGGATGCAACGGTGTCGCGCCACCTGGCGCAGATCGTACGGCTGGCAGAGACCGGCCCCAAGGTTTGCCAGAAGTACATCTCCCGCCCCGCGCTCTTCCACGGGAGAAAGTTCGACCTGCGCTTCCTGCTGCTGCTCAAGCGGCTCAAACCCTTGGAGGCGTACCTATCGGACGTTTTTTGGGTGAGTGGGTCGGGTGGGGTGGAATGCTGCTTGCTTGCTGCTGCCTGCTGCCAGTTTCCTGCTGCACTTCCCGCCCTGTGCCTCACATCCCATCTCTTGCGTGCTTCACATGACTCACCCCTCTTTGCTTGCACCACCAGGCTCGCATCGCCAACAAGAAGTATTCACAAGCAGAGGACTCCCTTTCAGACTTCCAGACACACTTCACTGTCATGGTATGGTGTCAAGTGGTGTGGTGTGGTGTGGTGTGGAACTGCTTCTTCATTTGTGACATGTCACCACGGTACTCGTTCATGCATGAGACATGACTATGGTACTAGTGACTCACCATACTCCTCGTTTCACACATACACACACTCACGCACACACACACACACACAGGCACGCACTCACCCACCCACCCACACACACACACACGTGCGCACACACACACACACACACACACACACGTGTGCACGCACGCACGCACACACACACACACACACACACACGCACGCACACACGTGCGCACACACACACACACACACACACACACACACACACACACACACACACACACACACACACACACACACACACACACACACACACACACACACACACACACACAAAACCACTGGTAGGGAAAAATTTCCACATTATATATTGTGTTATAGCAATTTCTGCTACAAGGTAGTGTGCGCACCCCATCACGTTGTAACCAAATTTCCCCATGCCTGGCAACAAATCCTTTCCATTTCAACACTCACGAACTTCCAGGGGTTCCGGTTTTGCAACGTCTCGTTAGAAGAGCCCAGCCACGTCCGGCTGCGTCCTTTGCACCGCGCCATGGTGGTGCACCACCCGCCGTACTGCAAGTGCACGTGCCACGAGCTGTTGCCGTTGCCGAATCCTGGGCGGAAATAGTACCCTGGTGGACTGATAGGTGAGGGCAAGGGCAGCCGAGGAAGTTGGCAGAGTTAAGGACCGAGTGAGAAGGACTATTGTGATGCGCTCGTGGTATGTTGATGTTACCTTTTGAAAATTTCTCAGAAGTAACCTCAACAGAGTTAAGGATTAAGTGAGAAGGACTCCGGTGAAGCGCTCAAGGAAATAGATTGTTTTTGAGACATCTCAAAAACACTCTATTATCAGTTGACGACAAAGTGAGAAGGACTCCAGTGAAGCGCTCGGGGAGTGGAGAGGGCAGAAGGGAAAGACGGGAGGGAGGGGAGGGGGGAGCAGAGTAGTAGACGGACAACTGGCGTGAAGAATGGAGAGAGAGGGAGACGAAGTACTGTGGCGGACAATGAGAGGATGGGAGAGAGTATCATGTGATTGATGAGGAATACGGCCCACTGGTGTTATTCTTGTTGAAACTAACTGGCAGGAATGAATGATGACTAGCAAGAATGTGTGTACAAATATGCAACCCTAGAATTTGTGTACCCCCTAAAGGCTAACCCATTGTAGCCTAAACAACAACAACAGATATAATGTTTGACACACCCCCATAGGCAAAGTGGGGGAGAACAAGGGGTCACAAGACCAGTCAAAGCAAAGCAAAGCACAAGCAAGCTCAGGGTGGATCTCAAGGGATACCACACAAATTCCGAGCACAAACAAGTGGTCACAAGACCAGTTCACATGCAGTTTGATAGTAGAGCAAGAGGTACTGTGATCACAACCTAGCAAGTGAAAGCATGCAGGTATATATATAGAGATCACAGTACAAGCAAAGTCAAGAAGTAAGCAAGTGAGGTCCAGTAGGCACAAGGCCTAGAAGAGTACAGAAGCGCTGATGGTCACAAGGCTGAAGCGCCTTGGTGAACACGTCAGCAGTGTTGGCCTGAGTGGCCACGTAACGCAGACAAAGCTGACCACGCTGCTGCATTTGAGCCAGAAAGTACCGCAGAGCGATGTGCTTCGTTTTGTGCTCCAGTCTGTGCTCCTCACACACGCACACACGTGCTTCTTTCCATCCGTCCCTCTTTCTCTCATCAGAACTACAGCGGTCACAAGTACGAGCACGTGCCAACACACGAGTTTGTGCAGGCGTTTGAGCAGGAGCACAGCGGTATGGATAGGGGGCTGTGTGGTGTTGATGAGTGGTGCCACGGTATCTATGGTTGACGGCATGGTATGGATGGGAATTGGCATGGTGATGGCTTCACTCTAAAGGCATGCAACAGCTAGTTGCACACAGCCCCATGACACATGAGCATGCATGAAAAAAAGGAGCATGTTTCCCTCTTTTGCTCATCAGAGTTTCCCCCTCATCCCTCTCCCCCCCCCCAACCCGCTCATTCCCGTTCCAACTGTCCTTCTCCACCTCCCTTCCCTGTATGGCATACGCCCATCTTGCACACTTGCCGCTGCAGTGACATGGCAGTCCATTGACCAATCAGTGCAGAGAATGCTGCGGGAGCTCCTGGCTGCTGCTGTTACTGTTCATCCCGAGATGCAACCAGATGACGACACCTGTCGAGCAATCTACGGTGTGGATGTGATGCTGGATGACCACTTCCAACCCAAGCTTCTGGAGGTTAGTCGCACTTTTGAGTGCACTGCAAACTGTTACCAGTCGTGCAATTATCCCCTCTTTCCCTGCTATTGCACATCCTCGTGCCCTATATTTTGTGGCTTGATCATGGTTCTATTCTCCTGTACTTATATATTTCATATGTGCATATGTTTATGTATTTATGTGGTCGTGTACAGGTGACATACTGCCCTGATTGCACGCGTGCTGTGACTTACGACATGAAGAGGATCCTTCCAAGACCTAGTACCGGCTCAGATGGCAATGGAGCAGCCGAAGATGAATCCGCGTGGCTGCGACCAACAAGCTTTTTCAATGACGTGTTTGGGTGCCTCTTCCTTGGAGAAGCCCGCAACGTGAGGCGCCTGTGATGTGAACTCTTCCATCTAGTGATCTCTTATAAAAATCCTTGGATGGTTGATGGGGAAAAAAACTTAGTAGTCTCCTATTTCAGCACTGGTATTAGATAGGGTTAGTTGCCGTGTCAGAAATGTTTTGTCAGCAATGATATTTACAAGAAAAGGGCAGCGGGTAAGCACCATGCTCTTGAGCAGGTGAAAGAAACAATAAGCACCACCAGAATTTAACATCCATTCCATACCCATCCACCAATGTCTCCACACCATAATCCTCCAAACCACCACCATCAACATTACCCCTACTACCCCCCACATCTCCTCTTCCCATACTATTCCCCACCTCCCTCATCCCATCATGGCATTCACAGCAAACCCACCTGACCCCTAATCTGCACCCCTCTCTCCAACGCTCTCCCTAGTCTCCCTCACACCCCCTTACTCTCCATCCTTCGCTGCCTCCTCTCTTTCAACCTCTCGCTCAACCCTCTCCTGCTAGGCCATCCTCTCTTCCTCTTCCGCAGCCTTCCGCCTCTCCTCTTCATCAGCCTCCCTCCTCTCCTCTTCCACAGCCCCTTCCCAGGAGGCCAAGTCACACCCCTGTAGGTGAAACAGCTCCTCCCTCTTCTGCCTGAGACCCGCCCGAGTAACGACGGTTGGCGAAAGCAGTCAGTTCGTTCCACCATCTCCATCTCACCACCCACTCCATATCTACCATCTCACCCACTCCATATCTACCATCTCACCCTCTCCATATCTACCATCTCACCCACTCCATATCTACCATCTCACCCACTCCATATCTACCATCTCACCCACTCCATATCTACCATCTCACCCACTCCATATCTACCATCTCACCCACTCCATATCTACCATCTCACCCACTCCATATCTACCATCTCACCCACTCCATATCTACCATCTCACCCACTCCATACCTACCATCTCACCCACTCCATACCTACCATCTCACCCACTCCATATCTACCATCTCACCCACTCCATATCTACCATCTCACCCACTCCATATCTACCATCTCACCCACTCCATATCTACCATCTCACCCACTCCATATCTACCATCTCACCCACTCCATATCTACCATCTCACCCACTCCATATCTACCATCTCACCCACTCCATATCTACCATCTCACCCACTCCATATCTACCATCTCACCCACTCCATATCTACCATATCACCCACTCCATATCTACCATCTCACCCACTCCATATCTACCATCTCACCCACTCCATATCTACCATCTCACCCACTCCATATCTACCATCTCACCCACTCCATATCTACCATCTCACCCACTCCATATCCACCATCTCACCCACCCTGCCCCGGAGCCTCTTCGAACCGCTCCTCATCTCTCCCCCCACCACAATACCCACGCTTTCCGACTTACGCTTGCCAGCTCTCCTGTTCTTGCCAGCGCTCTTCTCCCCTGCTGCATCCGCATCACCACCCCTCACCCCACCAGCAGCCGCCACAGCCCTACCACTCCCTCCCACGCCCATCCCTCCTTGTTCCTCTCCCCCACCACCACCGCCCCTTCTACCCTTCCGCTTCCAACCTATTTCCTCAACACAGGCAGCAACGTCCGCCTGGCTCAAGCCCTTTCTCAGGCCCTGACTCAAGCCCCTGCTCGAGTCCCCGCTCAAGTCCCGGTTACTGAGACGTCTCAAAAGTCCCCGGTTCGAGTCCTGGTTCAAAACCCGGCTCAAATCCTGACTCGAGTCCCGACTCAAGCCCTGACTCAAGCCCCGGCCTAAGTCCTGGTTAGCGAGCAGCTGTTCCTGGAGCAGACTGAGAGGCGCCATGAGGCCTTGGACCATCATGAGGCCCACCTCGTACACAACATGCTGCATTGCTTCTGGCATCGCCCTCTCCCTGTGCGCCACTGTCCGCTGCTGGTAGCCCAGGTCGTTGAAGGTGCGACGTGCCGGCGAAAGGACGGAGGAGAACGGGGTCTTCTTGCCACTGCGCTTCTTGCCGCGACGTTTACCTGCCTTGGTCTTGTTGGTTCGCGCTATGTTGGGCTGATTCGCTCCTGCCTCCTCAGCTCCTCCCTCCTTTTTCTTCTTCCTCCTCCACAACCACCACCTCCTCTTCCTCCTCCTCCTCCTCTACCACCACCACCTCCCCTTCCTCCTCCTCTTCCTCGTCCTCGTCCTCCTCCTCCTCCTCCTCCTCCTCCTCCTCCTCCTCCTCCTCCTCCTCCTCCTCCTCCTCCTCCTCCTCCTCCTCCTCCTCCTCCTCCTCCTCCTCCTCCTCCTCCTCCTCCTCTCGGTATTCATCTTCCTCGTCCGTTTCCTCCTCGTCAGCCTCCTCGTCATCCACTTCAGACATTGTGTCCGCACCTCCATCTGTAAAATGTCAACGGAATGGGGAAAAAAAAAAGGAGGAGAAAAAAATGGATATAGTGATACACATAGCATGAACCTTGCCCCAAGGCAATGGAAAACTCGAAGGTTACACATGTACTCTTGCCAAAAAGAAGAAGAAAAGAAGCGATATACCCCAGTCCCCAACACCCACAGCACATGCACACTTCACCCCATCCATGCACCCGTTCCTTACCTCCACTGTGTCTTCTTGCTGAGCCGCCCCGGCCTCCACGCGCCTTCCTCCCCACACCCGCCCCTTCGCCGCGACCCAGCGCCTCTGCTTCACGCCTGCCCCTGGCACGCGTCACCTGAGGGCCGCCCATGGCACGCGTCACCTGAGGGCCGCCCCTGACACGCGTCACCTGAGGGCCGCCCCTGGCACGCGTCACCTGAGGGCCGCCCATGGCACGCGTCACCTGAGGGCCGCCCCTGACACGCGTCACCTGAGGGCCGCCCCTGGCACGCGTCACCTGAGGGCCGCCCCTGGCACGAGCCACCACCTGAGGGTTGCCGCTCCCCGCAGGCACGCTGCTCAAGTCGCCAAAGATAGAAGCGTTGGTCAACGCATGTGGGCCGTCCCTCTCGATCACAGCCGCGTCGTACGCACGTGCCGCCGCCTCTTCCGTGGAGAAAAGGCCGAGATATCAATTTGCCCCCCGAATCTTGAGTTTTGCTACCCATTTCCACTTTGAAATGTCCCAGCTCACGCCTCTGAACCTCGAATCTCCGCGACCCATCTTGAGCAGAGAGTTCTCTTTCTCAATGGACTTCTTGAACTGACTCACCGACGTGGCGTCGAGCTCTGCTTTTTGCTCATCTGAGAGGCCAAAATTCAGCTTAGCTTTGGAACCCTTCAACTAGTATGCCGCCCTGTGTTAGAGGGCCCTACGACAGCAAGGGCCCTCGATGACCTTTGACTTGGCAGGTCAGCGCCTAACGACTGAGTCTACTCGGCACCGACGCATGAGTACGGTGGCGGTCACTAGTGACTGTGGGTGACTGCGAGCTACTGCAGCTACTCGGCGGAATCAGTGCAGGATGGCGTGGGTCGTTGGGAGTTAGGCGTGCTTCTTTGAGAGTCACGCCACTCCTTGCAGTGTTGGCTGGTGTGGCGTGCACGGAAGTGGTTTGCGCTGCTGAGTTGGGTTGGGAACTTGACGAGGCGCGTTCGCCCACCTGCATGCCAGTTTCATTGGGTTGGGTTACTGCGCAGCACCACGGCAACTTTGTGAAACTCTCCCGTAGCCATATATCTATTGTGTGTTTGCTTGTATGAACTTCATAGTTGATATTACAATTCTACTTGGTTTCTCACATAGTCATTTGAGACCAACGCTACCCAAACGCTACCGAATTACTGACGCAACATCGTTCTCATAGCCGAAACTCTCTCGTCGTCGTATCGCTCTCCATAGCATTCCTTCACCCTGGAGGCAAGGGGAATGACAGATTTCACAGAGCTTCGAAGGTTGACCGATGTGACTGATGGTGTGGTTGATATAGGTGCGATATCAACAACTGACAAAAGCAACACCGTTTACGCAGTGGAAAGCGGATCCGTGAAGCTCAATGTGAAAATAAAATAACAGACGAATTATACATGTCGTAGAGCCTGGCAGCCTCCTCCGGGGTGCTCCTGCTCCCAAGATAAAGAGGTTTGCCTCCAGGATACATTCTCGCCATCCATTCGGAACGATCCCGTGTGATTCCGATCTCAGTCGCCGTCCCGGAAAACTCTGAAGCTGTAACAATGGCGGCAGTGGGTAAGATGGAGTGATGAAGGTAAGCTTCAAAGATCTAAATATCGTGCTGACTGCCTCGCTTCAGCCTTAGTAGCGCGGCGATTGTTACGATGACGGTGTCGGTGTCATGCCTACGGGAGCAAAGGAAGATAGTAACGGAGAAAACCAACGCATACTTTGAATAACACGTTGGAGAGGCCCCAGAAGCATTACCGTTCGTGGTAGAACAGCTAAGCCGAGCGATGCGTTCAAGCTTTTCCTTGAAGCTTATCGAGAGCTCCTATCCGCATGCTTGATGAGTCTGAAACAGATTTTACGACTGCTAAGAAAGGGAACCTGGAAACTTACGGGAGAGTTGGGTTTGAGTAGCTTCAGTGTTTCTGTTTGTTGGCGGGGCCTGCTCGAAAAAAAGCTGACAAACAGGCGAATTTGAAATTCTCGAAACAGCGGAAGAGAAGCTGCGACAAATCGTAACCGCACATCTCAATCAGCCCAGAAGCTACCCTCGAAGTGAATGTGTCAGTCCCCGCGCCTCGCACACCTGCACAATATGGCGCGCGCACTACAGTGTTGTGTCCTGTCCAATGGTGTCAGTTTGACCAAACGATAAACTGGCACCCAGTGCATGGATTTTGCCTGATGTCATCGAACACAGCTCGTTCGTACAATCGGAGAAACTTGATTGGGTAACGAGTGTTCATGCCAGCTTGCGAACGGTGAACGCGTTACTGGACACTCGTATGGATAACAGTGTTCTAGAGTTGCTTCATTACATGTGATAGAAATTAGAAACTATCACGAGAAGTAACACCTACATTCCAATACAAGTCAGTTTGAAATGCTGAGAAAATGGATGGCGTCGGAGGATTTTCTCACAAAAAGATTGGTTGAAGAGTTGCATATGCCAAGTGAAAATGATGTTTCCTTTTAACTCCCATTCAGGGTATATCCGTCTCATTATCGCATTTTATTTGCACCCGATCAGGCTGTGCTCCAGCGTAGTGTATTGGAGGTAAGAAGCAAGCAAGATGCAGGCATGCGCCACTTCATGTGTCACACGAATCTTGCTGAATGAGTCACGTACGTCGGATACATCTGTCTATCTCAATGTCGTCTTAGAAAACGTATCCAGCTGCTCTGGCTTCCGCCTCCGCCCTTTCCGCTTCCGCAATCGCTTGCGCCATTCGCTCCTTCTGTCTCCGCACCTCCAGGTCCGCCTCTTTCTTCGCATACATGGCTTCGTCAACGATTCTCTTCGCCTCGTCCATTTCGCCAGCGGCCTCCGCCACTCGCTTGTTCGCCTCGTCCATTTCGAACTTCGATGCTCGGCATCTTAAAGGCGCCGCTCGACGATTTCGACCGTCTCTTCTTCGCCACGAGAGCGCCGCTCGTGCAGAGCGCGAGGACGAGGAGTAGGCAAAGAACAGATCGTTTCCAGTGAGCCATGGGGAAGAAAGATGTCAGTGAAGGTCACGAAATAAGTTAAAGTTGTCAGTTGAATGCGGTTTATGGAGATGGGAATGCGTCTTAGAGTAAGGGACGAACTGGGAAACGCTGCGAACTACCAGAGATGCCGAGAAACGAATCAATAAGAAGGTAATAGCTAGGTCTCGAGTTCTCTGGTAATATACGTAGTAGCTGGGTATCAGAGATTTTAGTCACGACTCATGTGGTGCTGTTGCTGCCGCTTCTGCATTTCGGGATACCCTCCCACTACACTCTCAGGGTTGAAAGTTGTGAGAACGTTTTTCGGGCGGTTCAGAATGCAGCTGCCGCTTCTAAATTTCGAGATGCTCTCACTACACTCTCGGGGTTGAAAATTGTGAGGTTTTTCGGGCGCTTCAGAATGCTGATAAGAGCGTGTCTCTTTTATCCCTCGACGGTTCGAACCGTGGACGGTCCGAGCTGCGAAAAGGTACCTGCTTCGCACGTTTTCGTCATAAGTTTCGTGAAAGAATTTGCGACGTCGCCAACGGTTCGAACGGTCGCGTCACTTATCCCTCCACACAGCGGTTCAGATTCTGAACCGTCCGCAGCTCAAAAAGCAAACGGACGGTACTGACTAAAGATTGGCGCGCGAGATATTTTTTCAATACGAAATCAGATTGGCGCACGAATTTTGCGGAGAATATGTCGTGACTTGTGTAATGACGCTACATTGCCCATAACGAAGCTACAGTACTTCGTCAATTCAGGGTTAAGGCCGGCAGCCCAAATTGCACAAGTTTTAAAAAGATGACGAGAGGGGGTTTTACAGTTTTGGGTTTTGGCGAGTGTTTCTGATTTCGTCAAATTCGTTTTTTTCGCCAGACCCAACGAGCCCCTCGATTTCTCTCTGGTTGATGTGTCTGACTTCGGGAAGTCCCAAATTGCACCTGCGCTACCTTTCAAAGCTTGAACAGGCCACTTCGTCAAGTTTTAAAAACTTGACCCGCGCGGTCCGCAATTTGGGCCGCGGGCTTTAAGAGAAAAGTGACAGCATTGCATCTGGACGGGGCAAAGTTTCGAAATGGCAATTCGGACAGTCCGGTCCTCGCTATTTGGACCGTTCGGTACCGAAAAGGAGAACCGTCCGGAAAAATGCAAAAATTCAAAAAAGAGACACGCCCTAAGTAAGCCTGTGGGGCTCGCAACATCCCACCGAGCCGCGCTCGGCCCAGCTGCTCAGGTGATCTGCAAAGCAAATGAATTGGGAGTGTGGGAGCATGTGGGTTGGGAATATGGATTACGAACGCGTACAAGTTGTAGCTTGACGAATTAGCAGATGATAAATGTATGAAACAACCTAATTGATTATTTTGACTCGCAGTGCTAGCAAAGTGATTTCAATCTTTTAATCTCTTCAAACTTTTCAGGAATTTTGTCGTGTGTCTTTTCCTTCAATATTTTATCTTCTTCAAACTTTTCTTGAGAATACTTCCTATGTGCGTCTTGTGGTGAGTCATGCAATACGCAAGTAGGTGGGACTTATGAGCCGCTTCAAACGTTAGGGAGTGCTTTGCTTGGGAACGCGCCTTGTTGGCGATGCACGCCTGGTGGTGCACGGGAAGGGGGGTGTACACCTGAAGCATGCATAGGATGGGAGGGGCAACAGGCGAGTCTTATGAGCGGCTTCATAAGTTGCCTACAAGTCTGAAGGTATTTTCTGCTTGGGAGTGTGCCTTGATGGCAATGCGTGCCTGGTGGTGCAAGAGGGAGAGGAGGTGCAGGGTAAGTCTTTTTGCCCACTACGGAAATTTAAAGCCTGACGTTTAGGTCTGTCCTCGGGAAGAATGTGCCTTCTGGCAATGCGTGCCTGGTGATGCATGTGGAAACGGGTGGCGGTACAATCAAGCATGTGGGGGAGGGGCGATGCTGCCTTGGCCCAGCTTCCTCCTTTCACCCAGCTTTCCCCACAGACCAGTCTCTGCCCTGCTGTGGGGCGCTTCTGAGTCGACTCAAAAGCAGGCTTTCCCACAGCCCAGTCTGTGCCTTGCTATTGGAGAGATATGGTTCCAAGGGTCTCAGCCTCCTGAGCAGCATGTTATCAGCGCTGCCAGCTACGAATACATGTCATACGTGTCCTGTAGCCAGGGACGCGTGTTGCCGTATGCCTGCAATAGTAGAGATGCAAACAGAGAGCGTTATGAGGAAGGTGGTCGACACAAGCACGATGCAAGTGGCGTACTTTGTACACTCTGCGCTGCTTGCTTGCTCGCTCACTCTCTCGCTTGATTCCTTCATCATCACAACGCATGCCTCAACAGAGCAAGCAAGCTGGTAACGTCCCTTTCTCCCTTGCCTAACCGCCACCACACGACATGACCACCCATAGTTCACCACCCATAGTTCACCACCCATTCTTCACCACCCATTCTTCACCACCCATTCTTCACCACCCATTCTTTACCACCCATTGTTCACCACCCACCTGCTGAACAGTCCTTGCCAGGTGGTGCTTCACCTCCATGCACACCTCCACTGACATACGCCTTGCCGCACACGACCCATTTGCACCACATTGCACCTGCTGAACATCTTGCCAGATGGTGCTTCATCAGCATGCCCGCCCCACCTGACTGCAGCAGAGCATGCGAACTATTAGCTCGTTCTCGCTTGCCTTACTGCCACATGATCACCCTCCAATGCACCCCCCTCCCACCTGCTCACTTGTCCTCGCCAGGTGGCGCTTCATCAGCATGCGCTCCTTACCCGACTGCAGCACAAAACTGAACAAGCAAGCCGGTAACACATTTGCAATGCATTACACCTGCTGTATTGTCGCCAGGTGGTGTTTCATCACAATGCATGCCCCAAACGGGAACTGGTTGACAAACGGCTCTTGCTCTCCTTTCTCCCGCCTCTCCTTCAGCCCAGCCGCCTCTCGAAATGCATCATCCACTTGCTTGCTCGTCCATATGATGTCCGCCTCGCTGGGGGGGTCCACTGGGAGAGGAAGGGGAAAGGAAGGAAGGTCGTTTCCCAAATGCTAAGGGGGAGAAAGGAAGGTCGTTTCCCGAATGCAAAGGGGGAGAAAGGAAGGTCGTTTCCCAAATGCAAAGGGGGAGAAAGGAAGGTCGTTTCCCAAATGCAATCTTCTCTCCTCCTCCCTTACCTCTCGGAACACATTGTCCACCTGCACTGCACCTGCATGCTCGTCCAAGTGATGTCCGTTTTGTTTTTAAGGTGCCTCAAAAACTAGAAGTAAGGCTGGGATTCGGAAACATTAAAAGGAAGAGGCATTGATGTGAAGGAAGGAACAACCTACCAAAAATGACTTCTAGGAGGGAGAGGTTGGGCAGGAGATGAGGGACAAGTGTAAGCATTCCAGGTGTTTTTGAGAATTCTCAAAAACACCCTGCATTAGATGAGGAACAAATGTAAGCATTTCATACTCCCACATGCCTTAAATTCCTCTCTCTTTCTCTCCGTACGCACGCCCATGTCTTGTCATGTGGCATGCCCTGAAAAGGTTGCGCCTGGCCTGACAAGTTTTTTTGACGCTTCAAATGCCCTGAAAAGGCTGCCCCCGGCCAGACACTCTTGTCGGTGTCAAGTTCCGCGACTGTCAAGAACCTGGGGCAGATCGCCGAACGCTCAAGTCAAGACACTCGCTTCCCTGCCTTGCCCTGCTTGTTCCTCCCTCCCTCCCTCCCTCTACTTGCCGCAGACACTCGCCGAATGTGAACTCAGGGCGGGAGAGGCTGTCAAGAACATGGGGAAGAACACGAGTGAACACTCGATACACTCACTTCTCCGCCTTGCCCTGCATGCCCCCCTTTTTTTTTATATTGTTTTCTGCTTGTCCAACAACTCACTGAATGTGAAATCAGGGTGGGAGAGGTTGTCAGTAGCGTAGGGAAGATCATTAAACACTCGATACACCCGCAGCCCTGCTTACGGTTTCTCTGGATGGTCTGGTTTCTCCGGTTTGTCTATTTCTCCATTCGCCTCCCTTTCTCTTCCCCCTTTATCATCAGCACAAGCAAGACGAGGTGCTGTGACCTTGCACAATTGCTGATCAAAGGCTTGGGTTGAAATGTGGTTTGGGGTGGGTTGGGGTGTGGGTGAGTTGGGTGTGGTGTGGGGTGAGTGAGATGGGTGTTAGGAGGGGTGAGATGTGATGGGGTGAGTGAGATGGGGTGAGATGGGTGTTATGAGGGGTGAGATGTGATGGGGTGAGTGAGATGGGGTGAGATGGGTGTTGGGAGTATGATAACGTGACGCGGGGTGCTGCGAATTTCCACATGTGCTGAAATGGGGTGAGTCGTCTCAACGACCCTGCTGCCGTGTCTTACTCACTCGGTGGCAATGCATGGGTTTGCCGTGCAGGTGCATGGCAGCAAGCATGTCATCGTCAATCTCATCCCCATCCATCTCCAACCACTCCAAACCGCTCTCCACCCTCCCTCCCTTTTCAATTCTCCTTTCACCTCCCCTTTTGTCCTTCCCTCCGCCTCTCCACTTTCTCCTTTGCCCATCTCTTCCCTGGCTTGAGTATCCACAGCTGCCCAAACTGCCCGCAAAATAATTTCGTCGCGGGAATCTTGCCCTTGCTTTCGTTCTCAGCCTCCTCTGTGTCTCCAGTTTTTCCTCCCAAAATTTTTGTAGAGCTCCTTCCCTTTCCTCCTTCGCCTTTTCCTTCTTAACGTGGAAATACTTCCGTGTACTAGCCTTCCAAGATTCGCACCAAAGCCGCGCTCAGCCGTTGGATTTGACTGAACGACCTCTGCCTCTCCGCAAATCCCGCCATGAAAGCATCCTAAAACATCCCTATGTCGATTCTTGCTGTAAAATGAAGCTGTGAGCGCTTTCACTGTTTTTTTTTTAAGCCAGCTGCGTTCATTTCTGCCTCTCCTCGCCTTATCAGGATCAACGATGTCGCGTCAGCCATGCGCAAGTATCCGCCCGAATCCTTCTCCATCCACTGCAAAGGTGTGTTCCACCTCTCACCCCCTCGCCCTCTCGCCTTCTCACCTTCTCGTCCTTTTCGCCACCCCGGGTGATTGCTCTCACCGTGCAATCTGGCCCTTCCCTTTTATCCCTACCCTCCAACCGCATTCTTGCAAATGTTATTAGCATCTCTTCCTTTACCGTGATACAGCACGCAAATTAGCTTCTAAGATGCAGAGACATCTGAGACAAAATGTCATCTGTGATGAAATGACATCTGAGACGAAATGACATGTGAGACGCCTCATACGTTGCACCTTGACCAATACAGCACTCAGTTGAGCACTCGATTCCGGTCGATGGGCTACACTCTGGGTCTGTTGCGTACAGTGGATTTCTCCCTCACGCCGTTCCCCTCTGTAATGTTTTCATTGTCCATGCACCGATGCAACAGGTGACGTGTGCAGGAACGACGTCGTGCTTTTCAAGCAGTGCCTGTTTAAAGGGTGAGCTCCGTTTCCTGATTTGATCCGTCGATGTTCTTCTCGCCTCTCGTTCGATACCCCAACATTTCCGCCTTTTTGTATTCCCTGACCAACCCTTCTAGGCCGCGTTTACATCACGCGAAATGATGCGTGCAGGCACAAGAAAACTGTCCGGGGTGTCTGCAAGTGGCGGGACGAGTGATTATCGAGAGCTACGGCGAGTTGAAGCAGCAACACACCTTCACTGTAAGCGCGTTCGCATTTATTACTTCGAGTCGACTCAAGAGGAAACTTGTGGTAACTGCAGAAAGCACGTGCTTGTGTACAGTAATTGCCGTTGACTAGCTGTTGAACCTTATGAACTTGAGGTCCCCGCCTATTAGCAGATTTACCCTGCTAGCAACCTATTTGTGTTTTCCATGCCCCAGTGATATCTCTGCTCTTGATATTTCAAATTCAGGTGGAGGTGCTCTGGAGCTTGGGCCTGCAGCCTCTGCCGCCACTCAAGCAGCACATGCTGAAGGGCAGAAAGCTGTACGGCTTCTCAACCCATCGCCAGGTGAGCTTGCTAACGCGTCTCCAGGTGACCTCGCCATTCGCGTCGTCTCAGAGGCTTCTGAGGCGTTTCAAAGCTGAAGAGAAGGAAGTTGTACGGATTTTCAACGCATTGCAAGGGGAGCTCGGCAGGCCACCATACTTAACAAGTAGTTAGAAATCTGCACCGTGGGAGCTGAAACAAATGTGCCACGTTTGCATATTTGATGTAGCGCTTGTCCTCTATGCTCTCAGCCTTGGACCAACGAGAACGACCGAGTTGCGAGTCCTTCGTCACCTCTTTCTCCCCCATGCGTGCAGCCTTGGCCCAACGAGGCGGAGAGAGTAGCAGTGCTGGCTGAAAAGCACGCGAGGGGGGACGCAGCCCGCGTCGTCCGCAGCGTTCGCAAGGAGAGGGTTCGGGTGGAGAGGCGTGCAGCAGCACGGAAAGCAGCAGGCGAGGCAGCAATGGAAGCTGCTGCGAAGGCGCTGCAAGGGCTAGTGATAGGAGGGGTGGTCGGTGAGGGGGGGTGGGAGGGAAGGGCGGGCAGTCAAGGGGTGAAACCAGGTGTTGCTGCAAGTGACTCTGCTGCAAATGGTTCTGCTGCTGGGAAAGTGGAAAGGGCAGCTGAAGAAGAAATAGCGGCTGAAGCAGCAACAAGGGCGATGCAGCAACTGGCGATACGAGGAGGGGTGGGAGGTGCGACTGGTCAGACTACTACCAGAGGTCGAGGCGACGAAGATCGGAAGGAGAAAGGTCCGAGAAGCTTCCCGCAGACCAACAACGAGAATGAGATGGAGGGGTGGGTCAGGAGCCGAGAGGGAGTGAGCCCAGGTTCGTTCAAGGCTGCATCTCCACTCAAGACATTGTCTACACTCAAAATCATCGCTCCTGGGAAAAATGATCCGCCTTAGCACCAGCGGTCAAGGAATGTGCGAGCAGTCGGGTATGACTCTAGGGACCGAGAAATACAGAGGCGGGAAAAGGAGCGGTGTTTTGAGGCAGTGGCAGAGAAGTATGTGAACTGCACCCCCCCACGCCGTCATCACCATTATCATCGCCATCGCCATGACCATCACCATTACCAAGAAGAGCAACGCTGGCAGCTGCAAGAATCCTGGCAGAGCCGTGTTTACATGCCCCCTCATCAGCATCTCAAGCAGCAGCAGCAGCAGCAGCAGCAGCAGCAGCAGCAGCAGCAGCAGCAGCAGCAGCAGCAGCAGCAGCAGCAGCAGCAGCAGCAGCAGCAGCAGCAACAACAGTGGGGGCAGCAACAGCAGCAGCAGCAGCAGCAGCAGCGGCAGCAACAGCAGCAGGTTCGCAGCACTCAGCATCCGGCACTGTATTCCGATATCGTCAGGGGAAGGAGTGGGTTCGCGAGTCCGGAGCCCCGAGACAGAGGTTATGCATATGGCAAGTATGCCAACTGCACGCCCCCTCGCCAGCAGCAGCAGCACGAGCAGCAGCAGCAGCAGCAGCAGCAGCAGCAGCAGCAGCAGCAGCAGCAGCAGCAGCATCAGCAGCAGCAGCAATGGCAGGTTTGCAGCACTCAGCATTCGGCACTGTATTCCGATATCGTCAGAGGAAGGAGTGGGTTCGCAAGTCCGGATTTCCAAGGAAGAGACCACCGATCTGGTAACTACGTCAACTGCACGCCCCCTCGTCGGCACGTGCAGCAGCAACAGCATCACCAGCAGCAGCCTTTTCAGTACCAGCAGCAACAGCAGCGATACCAACAGTATCATCAGCATCACCAGCAGCCCCACCGGCAGCACTACCAGCAGCAGCCGTATTGGTCACCGGCAACAGCTGCCTCAACCTCTGCTTTGAGTAACCCCCCAGTTGTCTCTCTCACCTCCCCGATTTATTTCAGTCCCCTTGGACAATCACCAACACCATCACCACTCCTTGCAGCTGCAACGTCACCTGTTTGGTACCACACGGCAGCTCCTTCCCACCCTAGCTCGCCTGTTGTTCACCCCCCTGTTTACTACCCGACCTCCCCTATTACTTTGGTTCACCCCCCAATTTCCTATCCGAGCTCCCCAGTTGTTTCCGCTCACCCCCCAGTTCTCTATCTTGGCTCATCTGTTGTCCAAGTTGTGAACATGGTTCAGCTTGTCTCTCTGAACGTTTGCGTTCTCCCATAGAGTGGGTGCATGCCTCAGAGTGGTATACATATACCTCTATACATATATCTCAGCAGTGTTGCTACTTTTCTGGAAATGGTATGCTGAATCGAGATGTATGTGGAGATTGGTTCAATTGGCCCTAATGCTATATTATTTTCCCTTCTTACGTTTGCATATGTTTACTTGTAGTTTTCAATGCTTTATTGCTGGAGTGATGATATTGGAGTCGCATAATGCAGTCAACCGATTCTCCTTTCGTTTTGAGTCACTCCTCCATTTGGGAGGTGGCGGGTGGGAAAATACGGGTCAGAGGGGTTCATCATATGCACACCGGTGTCAACTCGGGTAACTTAAATAGTACCCTGTGTTGCAGTTCTACAAAGCGAACTCGGACATATCAGGCACGCCTCCACCTCATTCCCGCCCCTTCCGATGCGGATGTCCGTGCAAGCAAGACCGCGGTATCTGGAAAAAAAAAAAATTGTTTTTTGCAAAACGATGATTTTGGGGATTGGACGATTCCGGCCAATAGGTCGCTGGTGGAGTTTTACGGAGGGTCTTTGGCTTTTCCAGAGATGCAGTGGTGAGCGGACGGTCTTTAGGGACACGGAGCCCGAATTAACAGTTAAATCAGAAACATACACCCTGAAACAGTGGAACCCTGAGTCAACCCCATTTGTTTCTCCCCAAACTGGAACGCGTCACTTGGGGAAACATTTCTCGAGGCGCACAATTGTCTCCGCCACTTCCGCTCTGCATCCCAAGATTCAACATTTATACCCCACCCCGACACCAGTTAGTCACACCAGCCACTCCCCTCATCTCATCCTCATTCTCTTCAGCTACTCGCCATTTCCAGCAGCTTCTCGTGTTCCCGGTGACTGTTCTTGTTCGTCCTGCTCTTGGCACTAGCCAGTCTCGTACTTCACACGCGCCACGATGACGATCGCGATGCGCCTCCTCTTCCTCGCCGCGCTCCTGTTTTTCGGAGAATCGTTGCTCGCCGCGGAAGCCGCCCGGCGGAAATCGCCTACTAGAAAACCGCCTCAGGCTGCTGATTCAGCCGGGCCGATCAACGCGATATTCGTGTTTGGCGATTCGCTTCAGGACGTGGGGAACAACAACTATGGCAAGTCCGTGCTTCAGTTCAACATCCCGCCGTACGGAACGAACTTCATCCCGCAGTCGGGTCGCGTGTGCGATGGCAAGCTTGGCATCGACTTCCTCGGTAAGTGATTGCGTTTGACAATTCCGCTTCATTTCGCAATCTTTTCCTCTCACCGAATAGCTCGTTTCTCCTCTAAATATGAGTGGATGGGCTCGTGAGATATCATCGATGTTAGCGTGCTTCCACCGCTACGCGGCCTGTCTCAGAAACAGCCGCTGTACCTCCCTTGGTCCTCTGCAGCCGAATGGATGGGCTTCCCCGCGTCACCGCCGCCGTACCTGGATCCGAATCGAAACGCTACGTTCGGAGTCAGCTTCGCCAGCAGTGGAGCGTCGTTCAACGTCACGGGATACGTGAGTGACGATAATCGACGACCAGCTCCCATTCGCATGGACGAACGTCCCCATACAGCACCATTTCAGAGTCCGAATGCGTGAAATTCCAAGAGAGTATGCACTCATCATCAAAACTTACCAGCACGTCGCTCACACCGATCGTGATTGATAGTATAACAGCCAGTCCCCTCCACCAATCAGCACAGCTAGAAACGCTCACTTTGTCCCTTTCTCTCCGCTCTCCCTGCTTCCCTCCTCCCTCTCCCCTCCGCCAGACCTTCCCCGCATTCCAGGCATCGCAGCAGCTGGAGTGGTTCGACAAGATCCAGGCGGATGCCGCGGAATCCGCGGGAGGCGCTGACGCGAGCCTCCCCTCGCCTTCCGTCTTCTCCACCGCTCTTTACGTCGTCGGCCTGGGTCCTAACGACTACTTTGTGCTCTTCTTCGGGGAGAAGATCGACGAGACGACACTCCCCAGGATCACCGCGGGAGGCGCGAAGCAAGTGCAGGCGTTTGCTTCGGCTGTGGTGGCGGCTCTAAAAGCCTACGTGCAAGCTTTGTACAGCCGCGGAGCGCGGCGGTTCTTGCTGTTCGAAATCCCTCCTCTCGGCTGTCTTCCGCTGTGGCGCCAGGCTCTGCAGCCGGCGGAGAAGCAGGGGGAGTGCGTGAGCGCGATCAGCGCGTATTCCCAGGAGCACAACAGGCAGCTGGCTGTTGCTATTGCTGCGCTACGGAAGACCCTCAAAGGCTCGGATATTTTGCTGGCGAAGACGTACGGTTTCACGGAAAAAGCTGTTGCCGATCCTCCCTATGTTGGTCTTTTGGGAACCAACGCTTGCTGCGGCGGCCCGCCTCCTCTCAACGGCCTCGTGCAGTGCGGCACGAGTGACACCATTGGTGGTTACAAGGTAACCGCGACGGCGTGCTCCCGCCCCCAGGACAGCATCTTCTGGGACCGCCTGCATCCCACTGAGGCCTTCAATCGCGAGCTGGCCAAGAGCATTTTCCTGGGCGGCAAGGATTCAATCGAGCCAATGAATTTGCGCCAGCTGGCGAGCTCTGCGGCCGGGGTGAAGAAGTGAAGTGCGGCAATGGTTGCATTGTGCCATAGTAGTAGCGCCATTATAGGTGGGCTTCCAGTGTTATTTGAATTTGGGTGGGCTGCTTGATACACATTTGGTTAGGTCATTGGATGTTAGAGGATGGAGGTTCAATTTGTAACAACACCGTAACATTAAGCACTGTCAGGACTGGTTGATTGTGAACTTCCGCCCGTGCGAGCTGTTTGCGACATTCGAGAACGTGATTCGCGAACAACAGTGGCATAGCTTACTGATGTGTCACGGAGCTGTGCGGTACGGTACTGTAGCCTTTAAGACTTTACAAAACGCCTCAACTTCGGTTCTGTGATATGTCACGTCCAAGATCCATGGCTGCTTTCTGAGAAGTAGCCGTTCAAAAATTGAATCTTCGTCATTGCTGAACTGTTTCTAGGTTTGCCTATGTATTCATAAGTTACTTTCCTCTCCTTCCACCGCACTCCGTAGCCTTCCTGACTGACACCCATTCGACTGACCGGCGACTATCAAGCTTGACGTGCCTGAATGCGTCTCAAACGGCGATGAGTGATGAGACTGACTGCCATCGTAGCAACTCCCGAGCTCGCGACTCGAGAATGGTAGTAAGCGCCCAAGTATATGTTCCCTTATAACGGCGTTTCTATGCTGCATGTGTGATGTCGTTCAGTCACTAGACTTGGTTTTCTCTTTGACGAAGTTTTAGGTATTGTTTTTAGACACCTGCATAACTATTGGTAGGGTTGTCGCATGGCGAAAGGCGGGTCCGCATGCACAGCTATTTCGCTCAGTGATGACGAGTATGAAACGCTAAGTGACAGCGATAGTAGGAATAACGACAGTTACAGCGATAGTAGTAAGGATAGTGATAGTCTTAGCGATAGGGATCTCGACAACGATGCCGATAGTATCGGGGATAGCGGGAACAATGTCGATGACAAGTCGTCGGAGGTGGATGATGACGGAAAGTCAACGGACAGGAAAACGGAAAGTAGGATGAGAACAAGAAGCCACTTCAAGTTGCCAGAGCCTGCTAGTAGCTCGAAACATCCGTACGCAAAGGCGTTATCCTTGATTCGAGGTACTTCCCGAACACTACCTTATACCTTATAGATTCAATCTCTTTTACCCTGTACCTTCCAGTTGATGTGTGTTCCTTGTTTTTTGTTTGTGTAATCTCATTTGCATCTTTTACTCGCTCCGCAGCGGGAGAATGGAGCAAGCTGACTGGTGAGCTCTGCAAGGCTTATCTGCGGTACCACCGTCTGCGGCTGAGCGACTTGACGGCGGATCTGATCAATCGCATTCAGAGGCATTACGAGTAGGTTTTTCGCCTAAGTCAGGAGACGACACTATCTAGCTCAAAAGTGATTTTGCCATCTAGCTCTTGAGTTGTCGTATAGCATCCTGTTCAGATGAACGGACTAGAAGCTCCTGCTTTAGGGATCCGCAATGCGTGGGGGAAATTCCAGTACACGCGTGAAAAAAGTGATGAGAGCCAGTCGTCTGTCTCATGTCATAAATCTCAGACTACTAATAATGTTGAGAAACAGTCAATCTTCCATCACTCTCTCTCTCTCTCGCACTGCTCACAGGCTCAAGGACGTCCAATCAGCCAAGCGTCAGTACCCACGCACGTCCTTCCACATCAATTGTACAGGTAAGTACCGAACATGGGTGTTCTATGCTCATCAAGAGATAGCCCACATGCAATAATTGCTTAATAGCACGCTGAAGCGTGGTGTTATATTACAACCGGGGCACCAACTTACTGCAGTACATTCCCGCACCGAAGCACTTCATTTCCACGGCCTTTTCTCATGGTGATACCACAGGTGACGACTGCAAAAACGACGTCGTTCTGTTTAATCAACGGATATCCGCAAGGTCTGTCACACGGTAAGTCTCAAGGTCTGTCTCAGGGTGTGTCTCAAGGTTGATTAAAAAGCCCGCCCGCTTTTCTTCTTCGTATCATCTCACATCTCATCTATGTTCTCGTGCCTGCGTGCTCCATGCATCGCATTTGGTGGCAACTGGTAGCAACTGACGGCAACTAATGACCCATGCAACTAATGACCCATGCAACTAATGACCCATGCAACTAATGACCCATGCAACTAATGACCCATGCAACTAATGACCCATGCAACTAATGACCCATGCAACTGATGACCCATGCAACTAATGACCCATGCAACTGATGACCCATGCAACTAATGACCCATGCAACTAATGACCCATGCAACTAATGACCCATGCAACTAATGACCCATGCAGGCATGAGAGGAAGGCAACGCATGGAGGGTATCGGTCAGTGGCAGGGAGAGTGGTCAGTGAGAGCTACGGTGTGAAGAAACAGCAGCACACATTCACTGTAAGCACACACTGCAGCCTCTGTAAGTAGCAGCTTACAGTTAGACGAGTTATAAGCCTGTGCGTCTGCCATGATGCAAACTGCCTACCGTAACCCATTGTTCACTCTGTAATTCCAAGTATTTTCAAGATTTGATTTGTTTGAACGTTCTTTCAGGTGGAGGTTATTTGGAGATCTGGCTTACATGCGCTGGCTCCAATGACGCAGCTACTTGTAAAGGGGAGAGTACTGTACAGGCATAAAACATTTCGACAGGTGAGTTCGTTTTGATCAATTTTCAACACATGCATGTAAGTTGAATAAATTGGGGTCGGTTTCAGGTGTGTCCATGCTTGAATTTTGAGAGATGAAGGGTTGGTCTGCGAAAACATGTGTATAAAATGAGGCTGCCTGCCTTCCTTTCGTCCAGAAATGGGCCAATGAGGAAGGACGAGCCATTGTTGATTACTCCAGCCGTCTCCCGTTTCTACATGGTTTGTTTGCGAGCCGCTGCTCCCGCATGCTGCGGGCCTCATCTCCCCTCGCATGCTTCTCTGCAATGGCAGCCACTCGCTCCGCCTCATTGAACCATTTCTGGACAGATTGAAGGCAGCAACAGGGACAAGCTAGGCCAGTGAGTGGAAGTAGGGTTGCGGCATATAGTGAGGGCAGCCAATGGCAGCCACTCGCTCCGCCTCATTGGGCCATTTCTGGAATAATTGAAGGCAGCAATATGAACAAGGGAAACACGGAAGCGCCGGGAGAGATTATCAATTCGAGAGAAGTTAGCGAAGACGACCAGTACAAGACGGGGACACCATGGTCGGTCAATTCATCCCAGCCCTGCCAGCAGCCGGGGTAGAAAACGCCAGCGGTGTGAAAACAGGTGAGCGTGTCTTGGAAAGGGTGGCTGTTTCAAGCAGGTATGGATGGTGAGTGAAGGGGAGGGCATGCCTAAAGTGAGTGGTGGCTGTTTCAAGCAGGCATGGATGGTGAGTGAAGGGGGGGGCATGCTCAAAGTGAGTGGTGGCTGTTTCAAGCAGGTATGGATGGTGAGTGAAGGGGAGGGCATGCTCAAAGTGAGTGGTGGCTGTTTCAAGCAGGTATGGATGGTGAGTGAAGGGGGGGGCATGCTCAAAGTGAGTGGTGGCTGTTTCAAGCAGGTATGGATGGTGAGTGAAGGGGGGGGCATGCTCAAAGTGAGTGGTGGCTGTTTCAAGCAGGTATGGATGGTGAGTGAAGGGGGGGGCATGCTCAAAGTGAGTGGTGGCTGTTTCAAGCAGGTATGGATGGTGAGTGAAGGGGGGGGCATGCTCAAAGTGAGTGGTGGCTGTTTCAAGCAGGTATGGATGGTGAGTGAAGGGGAGGGCATGATCAAAGTGAGTACTGTAGGAGGAGGAGCAAGTGCAAGAGGAGGAGAAAATATGCAAAGCTGGTAGTGGTTCTTTTGTGGTGTGCCACATTTGGCTATAAGGAGAGTACATACATCCTCTGACTGTATGAGACGGGCGGAGGACAGGCGGGGGAAAGTGCATATCCTTTCTGTATGGCTGATCGTTTTTACGCCTTCCTCCCCATTACTTTCCTCCCATCCCCCACCCCCTTGTCCCCCTCCTGGCCCCCTTCCCCCAGCCCCAGCCATTTCACTCTCACATGCACTCACTTCCACTCCCACTCGCTTGTGTGTTCCTTTCTGAACAAGCCTTTTCGCTTATGAGCGGGATGTATCTCTTGTCCCACGTATCTTTACCATACATACGCATGGCCACAGATGTACCTCTTGTCCCAGTGCACCCCGCTTTCCCCCCTTACCAACTCCCTCTCCCCACTGTTCCATTCCTGCATCCCACTTTATTGGATTCCCCAACCTCTTGATCACAATCAGGTGGACCCCAAGGAAAAGGCGGGACAAGAAAGTCTAGGCATACTGTACAGTAGAGAGCACTTTGCTGCACAGTGCTTAGACCGAAAACACGAGTTGTGGTAAGGTCAAGTCAACCACATCCAGATGCCATTGAAAACAAGTTGGTGCTTAGTTTCTGTTTTGGTATAAAAAAGCTGTTGAATCCCGTATGAAGAAATCAGGCTTCCTCAAAATTCATGAGCACCCTGGTACCACTGAATGGCAGTTTCTGAGTTATGAATATGTGTGAATATGGGAACAGTGGAGGTATCCGCACGGCACCCTACTGGTGTAGTGTGAGGTCCTGGTTGGTTGTGTTGTAGTGCGGGAAAGATGGGATGGGAGTGCTGAATGGGATGAGATAGGATGGAAGGTAAAAGAAGAGACGGAGCAAACACTCTGAATGAAGACAAGGGCCAAGGGATAGGTTTGCCAGCACTCGAACTAGCTAAGGAATGAATACAAACCACACTCCAAATCATCTACTAGGTATGCAACACACCCACGTCCACCCAGGTACACTCTTTCCTATTACAGCAGCCCCTCGTCATCGCTTCCCCACTCATCATCACTTGCCCACTCTTCTCGACTGCTCTCCCGTACAATCTCCACACGTGGAAGCCCAGAAATCTTTTTGATCGTTTTATCGAAAGTCGGGCAGGTTACAATTTCGAGATAGTAGAGGTCGACGAGCTTGGACATTGAATCAGGCAAGCACGCCAGTTTGGGCCAAGAATGAAGTTTCAGCTGTTCCAGCTCCGAGAGATTCACAATCTGAGGAGGAAGAGTGGTGAGATCTGGAACACCAGACAGGACAAGGGATGTAAGGCTGGATAATTCGCAAAGGTTAGACACAAACTCAGCTGAAGATACACTTCCTGCCCGACTGTCATTCCCGCAGCTGTACGGCCAATCAAATTCCAGTTTCTTCAGACTCGTGCAGTCTTGGAAGAGAGAGGCTGGGAACTCCATTATGGCACCGCATCGTTTCAGGACGAATGATTGCAGATCAGACAGCTTCGAAATGGAACCCGGCAGGCACTCCAAGCTTCCGAGGTTGGAGAATTTCAGACGCTGCAGTGAAGATGCATCGCCGATGCTTCGCGGAAGGCTGGTAAGATCCCAGCAGTCGGTGACCATCAGGCGACGGAGGTTGGGAAGCTGACAGAGGGAATCCGGGAGCGATTCAAACCAGCATTTCTCAATGTGAAGCATTTCCAGAGCCACGAGACTCGACACAGCGCTTTCAAGCTCCGGAAGATGTTTCAATTCCCACAGCTTGAAAACCTTGAGGGACGGGAGTTGGAAAAAGGAATCCGGAAGCTCGCACAGGGACCGGTTGAGGTAGAGAAGAACATTCTCAAGATTCCGAAGCTGGCCGATGCTGTCAGGGAGAACTTCTAACGGCTTCGCGCGGAATGTCTCCAGTTTCTTCAACGAACGAAGGTCGCCAATGGAATCCGGCAGATCCTGAAGCCGCTGGCAGTTGGAAATGCTCAGCTCGGTCAATGCGGTGAGCTGGCCAATGGAATCAGGTAGATCAGTGATGTGTAGGCATTCCAGCGTCAAAACCTCCAGAGATTTGAGCTTTCCAAATCTATCCGGGAATTCGCAGAGGCCGAAGCTGAGAGAAACGTCCCTTAGTGAAGTTAAACCAAAGAAAGAAGCTGGCATTTGCTGAATCTTCACAGATATCTGTAAGGAAAGCACCTGCAGGTCAGTGCACGCTGTGAACAGTGCATCTAGTCCCGTACGCGTTATTCCGGAACGGCCAGAACTGCTAAGTTGCAGATTCGTCAGCTTGGGACAAGCACAAGCCAGGCCAATGAGGAGAGTGTCATCCGAATTCTTGGCCCCAAATATGGCTACAGAAGTCAGGTTCTTAAACTGAGAAAGAGATCTGAGGACGTGGGTGGTTTGGACATCACGACTGAAGGAGATCGACCTTTGCGTAAGCTTAACGATGCGATACCATCGCTTACAGACCAGCGCGAGGAAGAAATGAGCAGCTGCCTGATTATATTCCTCACTGAGAACGATACTTAGAAGATCGTCCGGAAAATGATTGAGTGACACTCGTGAAGACGCCATGCCGTGGAAGGATGGAGCTAGCAAGATAATGCAGAAACAAGCTGGACCAAGACGTATTACTAGGGCGAACGTGTTAGAACTGAATACTAGGCTTGTCTGCTGAATACTAGGATCCACCTTTTATCTCCTGCGTTTCTTTAGAGAGAAGATGAACGATTTAGACATCTGAGAACGGTGCAGTACGTTTTACAGAAACAAGCGTCGTTGCAGTGGGATTGCATGGGCTGCTGCACGGTAAAATCTGCACTCTGCGTCATTGCGGGAATGGTGTAGCGCTCTGTGTGGCGCGTTGGCGCTTTCAGACTTCGGATCAAATCCTGACAGCCCGGGATCTCTGACAAGCTGATGAAAACCAGCGGAATCACCCAATGATCAGCAAGAATTCAAATTGCGCGCTCATGCCGACAAGACTTTTGTGCGAATGCGCAACATGGTATGGTTAGGTAAAATCGTAGGAAATAAACCGTGACGTTGAGTGCTTCCTGCCTAATTGACAAACATCTGCAACTACATTATCAGTGGTTCGGGACATGGAATAGAGAAATGACATCACTTCAAAGATTAGTTTTTTGTTCAGCGACACTTTGTCTTGTCAAGGAATTGGGTAAACAATAATTGTTTCAGTCTGAATATGTTGGAAACTGACTCAATCAAAAAATGCACTGAACTGAACATGTGGGTGTGTACCTAATTGCTGCCAAGCCAACCAACCATATTCGCAGTGTCTGTGGTACTACATGATCTCATGCTAGAAAACTGCATTCACACAATGTTGAGCCAATTCTTACGCAAGGGTCGTATCACAAACACATTAAAATGTTAAGATAGGTAGGTAGTAAGAAAGTAGGTTTAAGTAGGGCCTAGGCTTAGTAGCCTAGGCCACGGGGAGACGAGTGAGTTTGTGCCAAAAGAGGGGGACGAGAATGTCGTTCACTATGGAGCGAACAGTACAAATAGGCAAGGGAGAAGAATGGTGCACCACCACCAACAGTTTATGATTGCTACACTAAACTACAGCTACAGGCAGTTACACAAATATATTCTGACACTCCCCCATAACTGCCTGCAGCAGGAGTTTGTGCAACGACACCTCCTGGATGGGTACACCAAGCAGAGTAAAGCAGCAGTAGGCAAGAGCAGTGACAAGTTCACAAATAACAGAGGCAGAACTAAAGAAGCAGTCAGGAGGAGGAGGGACTAGATGAGAGGCTGATGGCAGGTGAAGCTGCTGGCACTGAGGCAGCTGCTTCCTGGAACCTCCCCCAGTCCTCCAAATCCCCCTTCCACACTCCTCGACAACCCTAGCACCTCTCCCCCAGCTCCCCCACACCCTCACACCCTCCCCCCCAGCGGTAGCTGTAGCAGTGGGAACGTGTCAAATATTGTAGCCTGTAGTGAGGTTTGTCTTAGGGGGTTTAGAAGTTAGGGTTTCTTATATGTACCCCAACCAACATCAATGCATCATTCGTTCCTCATTCTGACATGGTATCAGATAGGTTAGGATCCTGTGGGATCCCGTTCCTCCGTTCTCCGTTCGTACCTCCCGAACCTGATCCTACATCTCGTTCGTACCGGTTCCGTTGTTACCGACCCTAGCGCCCTTTCCCCCCGTCGCGTCGCACCCTTTCCCCCCGTCGCGTCGCGCCCTTTCCCCCCGTCGCGTCGCACCCTTTCCCCCCGTCGCGTCGCGCCCTTTCCCCCCGTCGCGTCGCGCCCTTTCCCCCCGTCGCGTCGCGCCTGTTCCCCCCGTAGCGTCGCGCCCTTTCCCCCCGTCGTGTCGCGACCGTTCCCCCCGTCGCGTCGCGCCCTTTCCCCCCGTCGCGTCGCGCCCGTTCCCCCCCGTCGCGTCGTGCCCGCCCTTTCCCCCTGTCCCGTCGCCCTCCCCCGTCGCGTCGCCCTTCCCCGTCGCGTCGCGCCCGCCCTTTCCCCCGTCCCGTCGCCCTGCCCCGCGCCCGTCGCCGCGCCCTGGCTCGTCGCCCTACCCTACGCCCTGGCCCGTCGCCCTAGCCCGCTCTTCCGCTGCAACTGAGTCCCCCCCCCCCCACCTGAACCCTAATTTGCCTCTTACCTCCTGCTCAAACTCGCCTGCTCGTTCGCGTTAGTTCTCGCTATGGCGAATCCGCGCGTTCTTCATTTCGACGCTGACGGTAGACCTCTTGACTTTTCCGTCTGGCTTCTTCGCGCTCGCCGTCTGTTGGAGAGTCAGGTCCAGGGGGGCGAGACCCTCTGGTCGCACGCTACTGGTGACCTCCCCGAGCCCCCCGAGCCTACCGCTTTAGGCTCTGCCCCTGACGACGCTGCTACGGCTCGCTTTGCCCGTCAGCGCGCTGACCGGACGGCTTGGACGTCGCGTGACGCTGCGGCCTGCATCGCACTCAGCAGCCTCCTCCCTGAGTCAGAGGAGGTCCACTTCACTCAGGTTCGCACCGCTGCTGCGTACCTCACTGCGATTAAGGCCCGCTACTCTACTCCCGCTACTGTCTCTCTTGGCCGTCTTTTCCTCCCGTTCTTGTTTCCTGATCTCGCCTCGTTTGAGCGCTCTGCTGACTTGATCGCTCACCTCCGCTCGCTCGACACTAGTTACCGCGCTGCTTGCACTGAGGCACAGCTTGCACTGCTTCCTCCCCCCATGGCAATTACTATCTATTTCATCGCCACTAGCCTCCCTGACCGCCTTGCCTCCGTTCGTGACGTGCTTCTGCTGAAGCACCCTAGTCTCGAGGTCCTTGAGTCTGCACTCAAGGACGTCGAGAGCAACCTTCGCTCGGTAGCTGCCGCCTCTGGTGCTGTGCCCCCACCACTCTTCCACGGGTGCACAGTCCCGCAGTTACCCACCTTCACTGCCTCTCTCGCCACTGCCGCTACTGACGCGACTGCAGCTGCTGTTACGACTGCGTCGCGGTCCCGCGGCAGGGGGGGCAAGAAAGGTGGTTCTGGTGGAGGTGGAGGCGGAGGTAGCGGAGGTAGTGGGGGTGCTGTTGCGACTGGCGGTGGTGGGAGTGCGGCGTCTGGAGAGACCTCTCGTGCAGCGGCTGGTGGCTCCTCTGCGCCTGCTGGTGGTGGCGACACCCGAGCTCGTCAGTCGCCTCCTGTACTGCCGGCCCCGCTAGGTGGAGCAGCGGCGTGGTACCAGGCTCAGCGTCAGCAGCAGCTTCAGCAGCAGCAGCAGCCCCTCTCCTCCCAGCAGCCTCAGCAGCAGCAGCGGCAGCAGCTGGCTCCGGGGTCGGGGCTGCGTCAGCCCCAGCGCGGTGCTGCTTACCCTCCCTGCACCTATCAGGTTCTGACAGGTCCTCGTCGGGGCCACCCTTGTGGCCGCTTTCACCCCCCTGGTCAGTGCTTTGCTCAGCTCACTGACACAGTCCGGTTGGCCTACGGGGTTGGCGGTCCTGCTCTTGACTGGCTTCCTCTGGTTCAGCGTTACGGATCCGCTCTGTGGGGCATGTCTGCTGAGCAGTTAGTTGATCTGATTGGTGCTCCTCATGCTATGTATGCTGTTGTTGACTCTAGTGTTTCTGACTCTGTTTACTCTGGTGTTGTTAGCTTAGGTGCTAGTCTTGCTCAGTTACCTCTTGCTAGTGTAGGTTCTTGTGTAGACTCTAGACCAGCGGCTACCTCGGAGGACGCCTCGCTGTCGTTCACGCTGGACTCTGGAGCCTCACACTGCTTCTTCCGTGACAACACGACACTTACACCACTTCCTGTGCCTGTTTCTGTGGCGTTGGCTGATCCCACCTCGGGACCAGTCATTGCGCGTCACACTACCACCTTGCCGTGTCCTGCTGCTCCCTCCGGGTCTCTCACTGGGTTTCACGTCCCCTCGTTCTCCCGGAACTTGGTGGGCGTGCGACCCCTCGTGAGTCAGCACGTGGGTGTGTGGTTTAGTGGAGAGACTGCGGTGTGTGTTGACGGAGACTCTTACCAGCTGCTGGCCACCTTTACTGCTGAGCCGGGCTCCGGTCTCTACACTCTTCACACTGGCCCGCTGGCGCAGCAGCAGCCACAGCAGCAGCAGCAGCAACAGCAGCAGCAGCAGCAACAGCAGACGCCGCAGCAGCAGCCGCTCCTACTTGCCCCCGGCCCCTGTACCGCCCTCCGCTTGAGTCCCCGCGTCTCACCAGGTTGCTCCTTCCCCCCAGGTAGCTGTGTCTGGTCAGGTGCCTGCGTCTGGTCCAGTCGCTGCGTCTTGCTCCTGCCGGTCCCTTGCCCACCCCACCGTCCTGTGGCACCACCGGATGGAGCACCCGTCCCTTCCTCGTCTGCGCGCTATGTCTCGTCAGCGTCTTGTCTTAGGCCTCCCGCGTGTCTTGCCGTCGCTGCCGACTTCGCTTGCGCTGCCGTGCGGTCCCTGCGTCGAGGGTCGGCTGCGCGCCACCCCTCACTCCTCCTCCCTTCGTCCGGCCACCGAGCCTTTTGAGACGCTCCACTTGGACGTCTGGGGCCCCGCTTCTCGTCAGGGCCCTGAGCGTCAGCGTTTCTTTTTGGTGGTCGTTGACGACTACTCCCGCTACACCACAGTGTTCCCCCTGGCGAAGAAGTCTGAGGTGACTTCTACGCTGATCAGGTGGTTGCTTACCACGCAGGACACTCGTGGTCGTCGTGTCAGCTGTCTCCACTCCGACCGCGGGGGTGAGTTTCGCTCCGGTATTCTCGCTGGATTCTGTCGCGAGCAGGGCATTCGTCAGTCCTGGACGCTTCCAGAGTCCCCACAGCAGAATGGGGTTGCTGAGCGTCGCATAGGCTTGGTCATGGAGATCGCCCGCACCTCCCTGACTCACGCCCGTGCCCCCCATTTTCTGTGGCCCTACGCGGTCAGGTACGCCGCGCACCAGCTGAACCTCTGGCCACGCGTCTCTCGGCCAGAGGCTTCACCGACCAGTCTTTGGACCGGGTCCCCTGGTGTTGCGTCGAGGTTTCGTGTCTGGGGGTGCTTGGCTCTTGTCCGCGACACCTCCACGGACAAGCTCTCGCCTCGCGCCGTTCCTTGTGTCTTCCTTGGTTTCCCTGAGGACTCCTCTGACTTCACCTTTTACCACCCTCCCTCTCACCGGTTCTTTGACTCCCGTGACGTCCGTTTCGAGGAGTCCACCCCCTACTACGTCAGGTACCCCTGTCGAGGTCTCCCGGTCCCTCCCCCCCCTCTCTTCCTGACCGCCGCTCCCCCGCCTGCTCCCCCGGTACAGCCTCCCCCCCCTGGTCCAGCCCCGTCCGGTGTGTCCCAGGCTACCCCTCCCCCTTCGGTAGCCCCTCCGGTACAGCC